GTAGTATCATGAGTGAATAATACACTATATGTAATGAGGTAAGAAGCTGTAGTATCATGAGTGAATAATACACTATATGTAATGAGGTAAGAAGCTGTAGTATCATGAGTGAATAATGCCCTATATGTAATGAGGTAAGAAGCTATAGTATCATGAGTGAATAATGCCCTATATGTAATGAGGTAAGAAGCTATAGTATCTACTAAGAGTTTTTTTTTGTTACAGTAATTTGAAGCAACAAAAAAGGTAAGGAAAAGAAGAGTCAGTCTTTTCAGTACGTACTCAAAACGCTCAGAACTGAAACATGTAGTCTTTTTTGCGATGTAAAATAATGAATAAATAACGTAGTTTATGTTTAGAATTACATTCTGGTTATTTTCATTTCTCGTCCTGTGTTTATCTTACATACATTTGTACATTTCATTCCACTGGCAAGATAAGTTCATTTAGGTAGCTTGAATATTCTGGAACATCTGCAGAACATAACTTTTAGAAATACATTTGGAGCAGGAACATCAATCATCCAGTTGATTTTTAGACCACCACTGTTACCTAATAAACAACCATGCTCTATTGGACCCGATTTTTGAGGGTGATACTTCAAGCTATGACGTAATATTACACACAGATAGTTCGCCCTTTGATCATGTTGTTGAAAACAGTCTCCACATGTTGGTAACAGCATAGATTCCACAACTCTTTACTTGACACTGAACAGCTGGTAGCAAAGCTCGTTAATCTCCTGGATTGGGGCCTTTAATGCCTGCAGTTGGCACGTGTATTGTTGTAACTTCGTGGAAAGACCAGTACTCAGCTGCCAGTGCTCTTTCAATTCAGTGTTCTTGTTGTTTTCATTTTGAACGTCAGTCCAAAGCTTCAGATAACCTACTTGTCATCTTCAATCAAAAAGTCCTTGACAGTGTCGCGTCCTCTAGATGCATGTAAATGCAACAAGGCTGTACAATTATTCCCGACAAGAGCTGTTTCAAACTTCCTAATGCCCACAAATATGATTCCGATCTTTGCGTCAGACCCAATGAGCATGTTCACATCTGTATCTTTCTGAAAAGCAAGAGACAGAAACGTTACATCAGTATCTTTTGCTATGATGAACATAGACAGGAAAAAAAAAGATGCTGCATGATGTGCATAAAGAAAGATGTGGTTATTTTCCTCTTCTTGTGAAATCTTCAGAGCCTAAACTTCTTATTTCTGATCTTTGGTTATTCATGTGCAAGTTTCTTTGCACATGATGTAGAGAACATTGTCTTCAGTTCTATGTGCCAAATCTCGTTTCTTCCAGTCTTCTGCAAGAAACTTGATCAACCTGGTTTTACTAGTTGGATAGCCAAAAGTTTCTGTCATTGTTGGGTCCTATAGCACTGTTTCTGAAGACAACACTTGTGTTTGGTTTTCTCTTGATTCCTTTACATTTTTATGGGCATTTCTCGATAGATATCAAAAATTATGTTGATTGTGTTACTTTCAGTTGTTGTGTATAACATAGACATAAACTATATCTATGAAACATGCCTTTCTATCCATTGCTCTTTATGAACAAAACTCATTTCATCATCGATGTAAACAGATGGTCTTGTCATATTATCAACTTATGTGATATTTTAAACTCCTTTTGCAAGTTTAGCTTTGTTGATTTTTCTTCATCGTGCTCTTACAATTACTTATAATGGTTACATTGTTGTTTTACTACCACTTCGAAGCTTAAGCTATCCCAAAGAAATATCTATCCAGCGGAAATGTTTACTTCTAAAGCATATATGTCGAATGGAAGCATTTAAGTTTCATGATACTACCGACTACCTAACCTGGCTCAAGGAATAGTTAACCCTCATTGAAAACGTTGGCGTTTGGAACACATAAGGATATTTTCCAGTGGTTTCCGTGATCTTTATACAATTAACACTACTACTATCTTTCTCTTTGTATGAACAAATGCCTTGTTTAACGTGAAGTCTGATGGAACTGAAGAAACTGTTTATTGTGGTTTTCATTGAAGCGCGTGGGGTTGAAAAGCACGAAATTTGTATTCTAATCTGTTTTACGGTCTTGAATAAATTACGATTATTGAATTTACTTCATCTTGGTTGATTTTTAATACGACTTGAGTACAGTTACATCACATATTACGATCTGAGTGACAAATATATTTCATTATTTTAAATGTTTAAATAACCTTCAACTAGTTTCATTAAATTCACCTGTACTCGTAATCCTACTGCAGTTAATTTCTTCGTATTTTATTAATGCAACCTACATGGATTTCATCGTATTATATTAATGCAACCTACATGGATTTCATCGTATTTTATTAATGCAACCTACATGGATTTCATCGTATTATATTAATGCAACCTACATGGATTTCATCGTATTATATTAATGCAACCTACATGGATTTCATCGTATTATATTAATGCAACCTACATGGATTTCATCGTATTTTATTAATGCAACCTACAATGGATTTCATC